AGAGCTGGATCTGGGACTCAGGAGAGGAATACACTCAGGAGCTAGATTTGTGAGTCATCAGCACAGAGGTAGCATGTAATAAGTCATGTGAATCAATGAGATCAACAGGAAGAGTAAATAGAACTAAGTCTGAAGAATCACCTTGGGAATACAAATATTTAAAGGGATAGACAGTGGAGAAAGAACTTTTTGGCAAAGAATATAAAGAGAGGTCAAAGACATAGGGGAGTAGCAAGAGAATATATCCCTGAACCCAAAAGAGAGAACTTTTTCAAAAAGAGATGGAGGATCAAATAAAATGAGCAGAAAATTGACTCTTTTCTCATCATGCCCTCCTCTTCAGCAAATAGCACTGCTTCTCCAACTTTAATCATTACAAGAGGGGCGATGACTGTTTTTCACTATAACCCATGCTATACTTTTAGCATAAATTTATAAACACTAACCTTTAAAGCAAAATGTGAACTCAGTTTTTAAAATGAGTTAATTATCATACCATCCCTCATTTCTTGTTCTAGTCTCTACATGCTAAATGTTCAAAAACACACAATGCTACTTAATTATAATGAAAAAGAAAACACTGCCTTGTTCACCTGCTAGGTAGAGCACAGAAACCCTAACAGCATCTACTAATACAAGTAAATGCTACTTAAAAATAATGCCAATTACACAAGATTTTGGCAGGTAAAGGGTAAAATGGGCAAATAAAATGTTCAATAAGGCAGCTGCTAAGCTCTGAAAGAAATATCTGAGGCTATTAAAAATACCATTTTTAATAATACTCTTTGATCTGAGTAGCACATTAAATACAATTTCAAAATTTAGTCACCAACAAACTACTGAAATATGCAGAAACATGAATGACTCTCAAAAGACATTTGCTAACTGAAAAAAAGACACAAAAAGGCTGTATACTATATGATTCCATTACACCACATTCTAGAAAAGGCAAACCATAGGGACCAAAATCAGAAACTGTTTACAAAGGGACACAAGGAAACTTAAATTTTATAATTTTAAAAAATGTAGTCATCTAATCACTATTTTTTAAAATTTTTTTTCATTTGTAGATGGACACAATACCTTTATTTTATTTATTTATTTTTATGTGATGCTGAGGATCCAACCCAGTGCCTCACACATGCTAAGCAAGCACTCTACCACTGAGCCACAACCCCAGCACCTCTAATCATTATTTTAATTATCATTTTAATGTGCTATATTTCTCATTAACTTATCTGCATTACTATATATTATACTTAAATTAACATAGAATTTGAAATTATAATAAATCTATCTTCAGATTAAAACAAAGTAATAGTTACCAACCCTCTTGAAATAAACCCAAGTAGCTTACACTCAATTATATCAATGGACCAGAATTTAAAAAAAAAAAAAAAAAAAAAAAAATTTCCTATAATTCATAGTCCTAACAGCTGAAAAAGGAACTGTTTTAAATTTTTCATTATTTTTATATACAAGTTATATATCATGTATGTATGTAGTGTCAGGTGTATATATGTAAATAAAATATTCTAACTCCATATGTAAGAGGACCCAAGGACCTACATTTAAGAAAATTATATTTTGAAATTAACAGAAATATAGTGGTCATTCACTAATATATCTTAAAGATATACCTTTAAGAAACATCACACAGGGCTGGGGATGTTCAGTGGTGGAGCACATGCCTAGCATGCACAAAGGTCCTTAGCTTCTATCCCGATCCCGGTTCGAAAAAGGAGGAGGAGGAAATATCAAGAAATCTACAGCTCAATTTGAGCTAATCAATTCAACAAAAGCTTATTGTATAGCTAAAACAAGAAAAGCACTGTATGACTGACATAGGAACAATTATTTGATCAAGAAGTATAAGTAATAAATTGTATAAATACTATAATGGAATAAGTGATCATGGAAACTTTCACACAAAAAACTATGCTTTACTTTTCTCCTTACAAAAAAAATTTCTGGTCCTTGAAGAGACATTTTGAAAAGTAATGCATGTCCATAGAAAAAATGTAGAAACACTACACAAATTTACATTTTCATGGTTAATGTCAATGTTTTTTCATCAGATTTTCAAAATTACTTTTGGTTGTAGATAGACACAATACCTCTATTTTATTAATTTATTTTTATGTGGTACTGAGAATCAAACCCAGTGCCTCACACGCGTTAGGCAAGTGTTCTACCATTGAGCCACAACTCCAGCCCATCAGCAGCAGTATTTTGAATTCATAAAGATCTCAGAATTTAAGGCCTTTCAAATTACTCTAGATTTCATCAGGGAAAGTAACATGTTACAAGACCATTCACATTAACTATGGACATCAACAAACACCTGTATTTCACATGCTATGTAAAAATTGACAAAGATGAAAAGAACAAGGACAAGGACAAGGACAGCGGAGCATGGTGGTGCATGCCTGTAATCCCAGCAGCTCAGGAGGCTTAGGCAGGAGTTCAAAGTCAGCCTCAGAAAAAAGTGAGGTGCTAAACAACTCTGTGTAGACCCTGTCTCTAAATAAAATACAAAAAATAGGGCTGGGGATGTGGATCAGTGGTTGAGTGCCCCTGAGTTCAATCCCTGGTACAGCCCACTGCCCCCCCCCAAAAAAAAAGAAAGGGACGTGGACAGAGAAAGGGAGAGCAATGTAAGAAAAGGGAAAGAATAAAAGAATTAGTGGAGATATATATCATCTAAGTCAGGATAACCTGAGGGAGGTTATGGGATAAATATTGTATACTTGATTCCTTTCTCAAAAGGGAAATGATGATCTCAACAGAAGTTTTTAGGCCATTACATTTCAACATTCAATATTAAGAGTCTTCTGAGGCATAAGCAGAACCTCAATGAAAACTGTTTTTCATGTGCAACAATTTTTTAAGACTGGTATTAATAATAATAATGTAAGGTGCTATCCCTAATTTAAACCCATGTAAAATTTCAACTTAGCCATCAACAAGGAAAAACTAAATTATATATAGCCTACACTCAGATGATTGATTTCTTTAGCTAATATTAGCAACCCACAATTCTATTAGAAGACAACTAAAAGTAAGTTTTAAAATACTGAAGTGTTTTAAAAGGGTTGCCTGACAGTAGTGTTGAGAAAATGCAGTGATGTATTTCTTTGCTAGGAAGGACATTTTTGTTTTCCAAATAACAAATTAAATATCATAAAGATTATATCTTTAAAGTAAACTGTAGTTTGAATTTCAATAATGTATTAGTGTTTTGAACACTATTAGATTTAAGGTTATCTACAACAGTAAGTAATTTTTAAAATAATGGTCAAATATGTATTTCATTTGCCCAAGATTTCACAATTCTTTAGAATTGAGAAGACAAGTGACCTAAATATGTTAACTCCAACAAAAAGGAATCTAGCATTTCAAAATTTGTTACAGCTTCTGAATTTCTCAGGAAAGGTAAAATTTTAATAAATTAATACTGCCGATTTCATGTTTCTAGGTGCTGAAAAGGTGTTTCCTTTCTGCCAAAAGGTAAATATATACAAAAGAAAACTTTAAAGGAGTTTGGTGTGTCTGTTCAACGATATTTTCACACATTCAAGATGGCAAAGAAATTTACCTACATGAATTATTTAAAAAATGTAATGTATTTTTTTTTTGGGGGGGGGGGTTCTTTTAATGCTTAACATTTTCAGAAAAAAGAAACCGAAGAATCACAATAGTCATGAAAATAAAGTGGATTTGCAAAATATTCTGAGGTTATATATTCTATTGCTACATGTATTTACTATATTCCAGAATTATATATTTAAACATAAATTTTATTTAAATGCATATTGTACACACAGACATACATTAGATAGATTTAACAAAAAATTTTTAAAGACTACAATTGAATAACAAACCAGCTACAACTGAACAAAATTATTCTGAGAGGCCAGGAACATAGCTCAGAGATACAGTTAATGCTTAGCATGCATGAAGCCCTGGATTAGATTCCCATCATCAAAAACTAACAACAGCAAAAAATCTCTTTATAATAAACAAGAAAAACAGTCTGCTTACTTTATATCCAAACTCATTCTTTGTGTCAAAATTTGTATGATAAATCTCAAAGAGACAGGGAATGGGAAGAATAGAGGTATTTTATAATTAGACATATTTGGATTAGAATTCTATCTAGATGCTAGATTTGCCACTAAGGAAGGACAAGCTTCCTGGACATGATGAGCTTTAATTTTCCTATCTGCAAAATGAGAACACTATAACTTCACTGGGTAACTGGGAGGCTCAAATCATGATAGTAAAAGCACCAACTCCAGAGTCCATTCTCTACTTTCTTGCAATTATTAGCTGTGTGACTTTGGGCTTGTCATTTAACCATTCCAATAAGTCAGTTTTATCATAGACCTACCCTTATATTGTACCTTGAAGAATTGAGAAAATTCATGTAAGTACCTGACACATAAAATCACTCAATGATACTACATATCACAAATGTAAAAACACTCAACACAATGTCTGATACAAAAAGATCTTACTAAGTCCTAATTTCCTTACTATATTTAAAAACTCAAACTCACCTCCAAAAATGAACTTTCATAATAGGATAAGTAAAGAACTGTATCAACTGTTCTAAGAGGTAATCACAAAAGGGTTTCCCATAAGGTTATTATGCAATGGTAATAGCTCTGGAATAAGTATACAAACTCCCCAGTTGATTACTTTGAAAGGATCAAAATTCTTTTGCTATGTAAATATTGGAATTTAAAGTTATTAGTCATACTAATTTATTAATTCATCTACTATAATTGGTTGTACATATTTTTATAAATTAAATCATTTCCTAAAGCTGAATTTTCCGTGAAAATAGATGCATATAAAAAAATTAAGTAAAAATATTCACAGACATCTTAATAAAAGATAACAAAGATTTCTGATCTCAAAAACAGAATATGTACAAGATATACAGCCTGAATTCTATTCCAGTTTCTTTCTCTCAAGTATGTATCTCTAACAAAATGACATTTAAGCCAATCAACCGAGCAACCAAAGGTAAGATTTTGTTAAAACTAGAAATGCAGAACCCTGAAATCCTTAAAAATAAATGTATACCAGACTAATCATTTACTAACTGTAAGACTACAGGCAATTTTCTGATGCCTTTCCAGCCTCAGTTTCTTCATTTGTAAACTGTGGTTAATAACTGTTTCTACTCATGGGCTTGCAAGAAGAATTAAATGAGGTAATAATATGAAGGGTATACTTAAAGTAATTCCTAGTAAATAATATGCCCTCAAATTTTATGGGGTAAAAATCTTAGCTGGCAATGGTATATCATGAAATAATCTAATATCACTTTGGGAAAAGAAGGGAATATGCCTTAAAATATAATGCAGTCTCACAAAACTCAATTCATTAAAACTGACTCCAGATTTACACCAAAACAAGTATCTAAAATCACATTTGTTACTTAACTTACTCGGGCAAAATATTCTAGGTACATAAAATTCCCCTTAAAATTATAATGAGGGCCTGAAATTAAGATACCTGGTTATAAAGGTTATTTTTAAATCAACTAGAACCACTGTAATTCTACTTATGTTCATTTTTTAAAAGAAAATTTTAAAAACCAAATGTTTCAGGAAACCTTACATATTGTTTACAACATATATAATTAATCACTTACATTCCCTCACAGGGACATATAAAAATAAAAGCAGTCATTTAAATACCAAACATATACATACAAGTTCAGGTTTTTTAATATGAAAGTACTATTTTAATACAAGGAAAATACAAGCAAACAGATACCATCCCTCTTTTGAAAAAAATGGAAAAGTATCTTAAGCTCATATAATTTAAAAAGTCACAAATGGTATTAGTGTTAACACTCAGCAATACCTAGTTTCAAAATTAGAGCTCAGACATTTCTTAAAGCAACATACTCTAATAAAAAAATTAATGTCAGAGAACTCCTTCAACTGACTCACTACAAGCAGCTACACAAATCACGTGGTCTCTAAGTGTCAAGTTTTTCATCAAAAAATAGAAATCATGCTGGTCACTTCTCTCACAGGAATATGAGAATATTTATAAATGGACTCAGATCACCTTGAAAGGGACCAATTAAAAATGCAAAGAATTATAAATGACAACTGCTGAAAACAGGAAAAACTGCTTAAAAATGAATTTTAAAATGATTTTTAAAGGCTGTAAGACCATAAGTTATCCCCAAAGTCAACTTATTATGCTTAAGATATTAAAATAATCTTCAACTAAACAGTTCAACTAAACTTCAACTAAGCATCTTCAACTAAACAGTTAATTATCGAACTTCTATAAAGGTACTTAGACAGGAATTTCCTATATATTTTATAGCAAATAAACATGATAAACAAAATTAAAAGTACATTTTTCTAAAAGGAAATTTTATTTTATTTCTTTTATTTACCCCACCTCCCAATCAGTTAAAAGGAGAGTTAAATGCAATTATAGAAAACTCAAACTTAATTTTTATTTACTCTCCCATTGAAAATTATGCATCTTATTTTGAAAAAACTTAAAAAATAGCACAATAGGCCATGTCAAAATCTGATTTAGTTGGTTCTTGTGTTTCTATGACAATTTGATGATGGATTGGTACCAAAAACCAAATAGGAAGTTAGTTTAAGAAGCCTTAGAAACTACGTTTGAATCAGGCAGTCCTGCTCCCCAAAAAGGAGAAAACTGTTCAAACTGTTATATCTTCGTTCAGAATATTTTTGAAATTTAGTAGTGATTACTGTTGCAGAACCAAAAGTTTGTTTGCTATCATATTAAAAACTTTCATTTATCATTCCTCAAAAGAATTTCAAATTGTCACTTTTCTACAAATACAATTTTTTTTCTTCTTTTAAGGTTTAAACAGTAATATAATGATTCCTAGCAGAGATTCAAAAATGCACTCAACTTTAGTAAACAAAGTTGAATGCTTTAAAAATACCTCTCAAAGCACTGAAATATTAAGTATTTAATGTTGGACATTGATTCACTAGATTTCCAATATTTAAAATTACTTTCTTTTCAAATTATGTAAGTTATTGGTAACTGCAGATTCGAGAAAAACCACATTCATGAGATTTCCTTTAGGTACATTAGTAAATATTTCTCCAAAAACAGTAACTAGAATTATAAGATTACTGGGAACACTTACTGGTTGTCTCTTTTAACTGACTTTTTTAAAAATGAAAAGCAAGATTAACCACTGGTGATTAGCTCAACCAATACAGCAAAAGTACAACATAGTGAAACAAATTATTCTCTCTCACCAAGTTATCAAAAATTTAGAGTTCAAGTTTAGGTTTTGTGTTTTCACCTTTAAAAATGACCTCTTTAATTGGGTTGAGCGAAACCAAAAATATTTTCAAATGTACTTTGAAGAAATGATTATGCTATCTTAATGAAAGTTATCACACAACCTGTATTACTTACAAATTATTAAGTATGTAGATGTGGGAAAATAAAATAAGAGGAACCAATTAACTATAATTTAATTCCAAAGACTCAAGGAAAAAAAAAAATCAATTATATAAACTGATAACGCACTGATTTCAAACATCTGCAAAAGGCTCCCTTTAACTATAAAACTTTAAAAATAAGTTGCTTCTGTTGATGAAAACGAAGCAAGAAAACTCTTTGCATTTTCTTTAGTGGAAATATGTTCATCCCTTGACATTCATCTCAGTATTTTAATTAAATAAAAGTTGTAAAGATGATCACAGAAACATATGAGGGCTTTTAAAACATTTATAATGAAGCACCTACCCGCCCCCCCACCCCACCCCAAATCAAACCCTCTGTTTTTTGAAGACGGGAAGTGTTCCTCTCTGCATTCCCTCCCTGGCAATCCCCCCACCCGCAAGCCCCCCACCCGCTGTAGGCCTGAGGCCCCGTAGCAAACAGTGTCTAACAGGAGCAGGCAGCACAAAGACAGGAATGGGAGATTAGTGGGAGGGAGGGAGGCCGGGATTGGGGCTCAGCAGGAGCTTCAGGCTTTTTAAAATTCAAACTGCTCCCTGACCAATACAAATCACGGACACGCTACTGACTACTACACGGATTTATAGCATTAAAAACATGCCTAGTACGTGACAGCTATATTAACTTCACTCTTTTTAACATTTATCCGATCGTTTGCAGGAAATGTGGAACAATTTATTGTAAGCAGGATGCTAAACTCAAAAATAACCTCCAGAAAAGTTACTTATTCTACAGTGACAATAAAAATTTAATAAGACACAAAAAATTTGAACCAATGTAACACCCACTAGTAAAACAAGGGACTTTATTGAGCAGTGTTGCTTCATTTTAACCAATGAGAGTTTTCCTTCAGCGAATATGAAACAAAGTATCAAAAGAGACTAACAGAGGTACATGCATTTTTCTATACAATTTGTATGACTGAGGACTTTTAAATTAGTGTTTCCCCTTTAACACAATCTACATTACCAAGGCCTCCATAAACAGGCTCCAAACACTTAACTTACTCGTGAACTAGAACTTGTTAAGATAGAACTGATATTTTTCTCCAGCATTTACAGATACATTTGACCTATTAAAATGACACCTCTCTCATTACACAGTCAAACATCATGGCACAAACAGCCAATGACAATCCTGGGACCTCAAGAAGATCTGCCCTGACATGAAAGGATGGTACCTTCTACATTTTTTTTTTAACCTCCTAAGGATTTTAAGTATAACTTAATTTCTATCCTTTAAAAGAAAAGAAACTGGTTTTAGCCTTCTGTTGGCACAATGCTCAGAACATTTAAAATTCTTTGTATGCTTGCACACGTTTAGGTCAGTAAGTACCTGAGTGTTTTATGTATAGTTGTTTAAAATTGTCCTTACATAACGCATACAAATATAAAGTGGGAGAGTAAACCTGTCAAGTACTTTATACTTGTCTCTGAATAAAAAGTCCATGTGCAACACACACTGTCAAACAACACAAAAAGCTGGGGGGGGGGGGGTTGTGTAGTGTCTACTACACCATGGTTTTCTATATTAAATATTCATGTGGACGATCTTATTCTTTCAAAAAGAAAATGAGTCTTTATTAACTTTCCAATGTCCAAAACAAGTTTTTAAAAGAGAAAGAATTACCACCGTATCCGTGTCTGAGTATTTACATTTGTCTCACTAACTGAAACTACTTCCTCCCTTCATGGGGTCACAGGGGGAAGAAGGGGGGTTGTTTGTTTCACTGGGACGTTCCCCACTCCGGGACCGGGAAAGTTGTAAATATGGGGACGATCGGGGCACATTTGCTGTTAGTTGTATTGTTTCCGCCTCCTCGCTAGCTACGGCTCCTCTCCCGGGCGAGGCCTGTCACCGACCAGCAGTCGCTCCGCTCAGCCCGGAGCTCTCCTAATCCCCGAGCTCAAGTAGATTCCGCTGGCCCGCGGCCTGCACTCTCCGCCGGGCCTACGCCTCCCCGGCCGCCCGGCAGGAGCCCAGTCCCCGTCACCGGAGCCGGCAGGGAGAAGGTACAAAACCACCGCCACCCAGGGCGGCTGCCACCAGAGAGAAGCGAACTCTCGACTCGCCCGTGGAAGAGACCTGGGGCCGCTAAGGAAACGGCTGGGAGGGGAGCGAGGAGGAGAGACGCTGAGGACCTGGCGCCGCCGCCGCCGCCGCCGCCGAAATAAAGAGCAGGAATTTACCTGGGCGAATCGGCGTCTGAATCCGAGGGGAGGCCGAGGCCGCTGTGGCGAGAGACTATAATCCGGGCCGGGAGGGGGGGTGGCTACGGCTCCTCTTCCGTCTCCTCAGTGCGGGGAACATGTAGAGCCGGGGGGAGACCAGCCGAGAAGACAAATCGCTGCTTCTTCCTCCTCCTCCTCCTTCTCCCACATAGAAACACTCACAAACACCCGACCAGGGGCCCGAGCTACCGGGGGGGCATCGCCACGGACCCGGGAACCAATCCTCCTGTCGGCGGGGGCGTCCCTCCCTGCGGCTTGGTGGTGTCGGGTGAGTCGGTACCGACGGAGGGAGGGGGGGGAGGGCGGGGGGAAGGAGCCCTGTGTGTGTCTCTCTCTCGTTCCGTCTCTCCCTCTCAGAACAAAATGCCGACCGGAAGTGCAGCTGCAGGAATGACTCCCTCCGCCGGCGCCAAACACTAACAACCACCCCCTCTTCCCCACTCCACTTCCGCCACCGCCGCCGCCGCCGCCGCCGCCGCCGCCGCTCGGGCTCGCGTCTCCGCCTCGCCGCGCAGCACCCGAGCCCGGCCGGGACCAGAAGCCCGGCGGCAGCACCTCGTTTCTACGCCCTGCTGCACTGGGCGGCTGTGGATGTTGTTCTTATTGTCGATCCTGCGGGGCTGCGTCTGCGCTGCGGCTCGGGGCCGGCTCTCACGGGCTTTATTTTCCAGCAGGCCGACAGCAGCCGGGCCGAGTCCTGCTGTGGTCGTGTGCGTGGGGGAGCTCAGGCCCAGAGGGCCTTCCAGGCCGCGGGCGGCGGCGGGTGAAGGCCGCGCTTGTGTCCCCTGGTCGCTGTCTTTAGCTGTAGGGAGTCAAGCTTTGGGCGGCCACGCAGAGGACGCCGGCGATTCCACGGCGATGGTGCATTTTTTTAAGTGGTGTGCCTGCAGCCGAGAGGATGGATGTATCAAATACCTTCTCTTTCTCAAAGGCCAGACTTTGTGCCCTCCTGTGGGTTATTTCTGCGGCTTAAGGATGCAATCCTTGAAGGCGAAGAAGACTCCCAGCTGGATTGAGTTGGAATCGTGTTTGTGATGCATTTGTTTATGGAAATATGTAGTCGCTGCTGGACTTGCTTTTTGTTGGTGGTTCTGATTCTTCCCTAACTGTCAGGCCAAGGCCTGTAGGCGACGCTGTGCGAGCGAGGAGCGGCTGGCGACGGAGCCGGCTCCGGGCCCGGCGTCCAGGTGTGGGTGGAGCCGAGCGCTGGGAGCGCGGGGGCCGCGGGCTGGCTGGGGCCGGCGGACTTCGGACGTTTTCCTCAGTTGAACACACTGAGGCACTGGACGAGGCTGGAGTACAACCTGTGATTATACGTACCCTACCGTACCCGTTGTAGTCTTATTGTAAAACAAGAAGTAACGTCATCGTGCCTCAGATCTCTGTTCTGTTTATTTGTGTAGATGAAAAGGGGCTATTCAGGTAAAAAGTGCAGTAGGTAAGCGGGTTTTAAACAGGACGAAATTTGTCATCTCAGCGAATCCAGTTAAGTTAATTGTGTTTATAGATGTCAACACGCCTAAAGTCGGGGAAGCTTGCCTACACGTTAGCCTTTGCCTCCGAAGTCAAGGAGGGGACTGAGATCTTCCGCTCCTTTGCCATAGTCACTGTCGTGGCTTCCCTTCTCGTCCGTGGATGCCTAACTGCCAAAGCCTTGACCTCCGCCGGGAGGGGCCTGCGCTGTGGGGGGGGGGGGTGTGCCTCTGCTGTTGTCTCTGCGGGGGGTCACTTTCCCAAGCATCCAGAGGGCTCTCATCTTCAGGGTTCTGCTCAAATGTCATCTCCGGGGCCACGGTTTAAAGGGTAGATTTCCCTGCCTCCTTTCTGGCTTTATCCTTCCGATACTATGGATCTTTCTTGCTTGTCTTATTCTCTTTCCCCAGTAGATGGTTAAGCTCCAGGAGGACGGGAGGTTTTATTTTTCTCCGCTGGTATTATGTTCAGCGGCTAGAATGATGCCACACGATAGATGCTTTTGATACCCTTCCCCCTTATTTCTGCGCTGTATCCTGTAATAAGTACTTACGCTGTAGAGAAGTTTATGAAAGATGGTGAAAAGTGGAAACAATATTTAGACAGAAAAATGGAAGCTTATTACAGAGTTCTGGAAAAAAAGCGATCGCTTCTACCGCTACAGCACCAGGAGCCCACAAATGTGATCATTATTTGATTTTAGGTCTTTGTAAATAGTCATGCTAGAGAACTGTGTTTAGGAGATCCTGTGATCATATCTGTAGTGTGCTAATTCAATTTATTGTGTTTCCTGGGTCTCTCAAACTGCATTCTTCATCCTGCCACCTTTTTTGGAAAATACATACTATTTTCACTGAACTGAAGTTTGAGAATTTGGTTGGCTCGGCCCAAATCCAGCACTACTGGAAAAGTTCATTCAGCAAGTCTTTTATTGGGCATAAAATGTTTGCCAGCACAGTGATTCAAAAGGTGTGTACTTCTGAGGTTAGGAGACCTTATATAAAGGATCACACATGGCTACTACTTATGTTTTCAAATAAAGCAAAAGCTAGAGATTTATTTTTAGTTTCTTCAAAAGAAAAGGTTCAGTGAAAGCTGAGGTCAGATATTTAAATATACCATTTAGTTTGCTGTTTGTTTATAGTTACTTACCTGTTGGCACCTGGAATAGCAATATAATAATTGAAAATGATTTTTTAAAACTATAAAATGTGAGAAATTCTATTTCATAGTAGCTAGGAAACCAAGCTTTTTAAATTGAAATAAGTCAATATACTAGTAACTAGAAGCTATATATAAGTGTCTGGTTATGCTGTTAGAAATTTTCATGTTTCATTTACTGATTTTTTTGGAGAAGACAAGACAACCTGGGCAGATATTTTACAAGTATTAATACATCAATTAAACATTGTTATATTCTTCTAATAGTCTATTCATTATAGGTTTACCCGTTAATTTTAAAAATAGCTTTAAGTAATATACAAGTAACTCAGAATCTGTTTTTCAGTTTCAAAATACAATTACAGTTTGCTTATGGAAGCACAATTACTTTTCTGTATATTTTCTTAAATGTTACTGATGAACTAATAATTTTGCATGTCTAGGGAACAGTAGTAGATAAACTTCGTGGTACAAAGTCTTGACATTATTTTAACATTCAATCTAAAGTTTTAATTTAAAATCTTATTGTTTTTTGTTTCTTCCCTCACACATTTAAATATACTGGTAAGAACTTATTTGGTGCTAATCAACCTTATGCTAGGCCCCTGATATAAAATAATGAGTGAAAACTGACATGGTCATTGCCTTCAAGGGTTTTTTGTGTGTATTTATGTGTGATATATGTATATGTAAGTATGGTGTATATATATATCACACATAAATATATATTATGTATATATATAATATATACTTTTTTATACAAAATTTTTCTAGATATTAGAATGGAAAAAATTGTTTCAGTGCCTATCAGTATTTCCTGTCAAATCAACTAGTATTTTGCTTGCTTAAATTTAGGTATCCAAGTTGAGATCTTATAAATAATAGTGATTTCTTGATTTCATTGTCTTTTTTTCATTTTTACTTATTTACTGCTTCCTAATACCATCAGTTTGTTTAATTTTTATATTTTTCAGTCTTTTATGTCCAAAAGCACTTCATTTTGGGTGGTGTTGTATTTCACTGTTATATCCTTGTCAATTTTAGTTTGGAAGGTAACCTGATCTTTAATCTGATCTAATATTGTCTCCTTGCTTTAAGGAATAAGTTGTATGGCTCAGTTTTATTTGCGGTGAATATTCCTGGATATTTTCATATGTATTTTTGATCAATGAATTATAATTTAATTTTTAAAAATTTAAATGAATTTTAAGTATCTGTATTAAATGAATTTAACTATCTGTATTAAATATCATTACCAAAAATTGACACAACTGACAAATTATGAATTATTATTTTTACTGAATAATATTCAAGATAAATGCAATTTGATATGAAATGATAGGGATAAAAAAAATTTAGAAAATTGTGTATTTTATGCCTGCCAGTTATCCTTTGTTAGTGATAAAATTATCTCTAACAGGAATAAATTTTAAAAATTGAGGAAAGGCAAAAGATTATGTATGTTTTGGAGATTAGACTCCTAAATTATTTCATATTTAGGATAATTAAATTACTTTCAAGTAATTTGATGAAGAGTTTATTCAGGATGCAGATTTTGAGGGCAGACTGTAGAAATATCCAATGACTTAAATGTTTCATGTTTTTTTAAAATTAAGTACCTTAATCAATTTGTGGTAGTATTTGAGACTTATTTAATGTGTTTATCTATTTGTTTGGATTATATTAATTTTTCTCCCGTGAATGTCTTCAGTTCATCTTAGTCTTCTATTCTGGCCTGTATTCTGGTCTTAAAGAATAAGCTTTGGCTGGGTGGTGTGGCATAGACCTGTAATCCCAGTGGCTCCAGAGACTGAGGCAGGAGGATCACACTTTCGAAGTCAGCCTCAGCAACTTCAGTGAGGCCCTAAGCAACTTAGTGAGACCCTGTCTCAAAATAAAAAATAAAAAGGGCTGGGGATGTGACTCAATGGTTAAGCACCCCTGGGTTGAACCCCAAGTAAGTACCCCCTCAAAAAAAAGTTTTGTCCTTTCATTAATCTTTCTCTATGGGTTTTATTATCTATCTATACCTTATGTTTCTAAAAGTGACCAGTTACATGTTATACTCCATGTTTCACTGAACAATGCTGTAGGATAGGGTCCTTAAAAATGCATCTCTGAAATACAATTTCAACATAAAGTTATTTAAACTGCCCTTTTGCATAGATTAGTTTGTAGTCAAAAAGTGTCTGCCCTAGACTAGTGTTTTAAACTATTGGTCATGAACCATAATATAACATGAAAGTAATTTAGTGGGTTGTGACTAGCATTTTTTATTTAAAATACAAAAAAGAAAAGAGTACCTCAAAGATGGTAAAAGTATTTTTTAATAAACATTTTGTGTGTGTTTGCTGCCTTGTAAAAGGATTTCTTACACTGGGTTAAAGGCAAAAAAAAAAAAAAAGGAAATTTTTATTTTTGTTAATTTCAGTAGTTCATGTTTTTTACAGTTTAGTTTCTACACTTCATGTCTTTCGTTACTCGTCCCCCTTAGAAAATGGAAAAAGAGGAATGTTAGAAATTTCTGATTGAAATCAGACATTTTAGAGGAAGCACTATGATATTTTAGTGATTTGATACTGGTTTCAGAAAGATGATCTTAAGATAAAGAGTAGGAAATAAAATTAGGTTGTTAAAATGCCAAATATAGTTGGATTCTAAGGAGGAATTTTTTTCTAGTGTATTTACATTTGGTGTATTTAGATTTTTGACTTATGTATCTGTTCTAGATTTTCTAATCTAACATTTCTGATACAGCAAAATAATAAATGTGAGGCAAAAGATATTTTTATTTCATCCCAGCTTTCCTTCAAATTTAAAACAAGTGTTTATTAATCACAGAGCAAAGCAAATTGCCATCTTGGAATGAAAAAAAAATCTTACCAAAAAGAATGAAAGAAGGACTTTGTTATATTGAAATGTTCTGATAAAGTTTAAACATTACTATCACCTTTTTTTTTTTGCTATGTGTAGATTTCAGTATTGTGCATTTTATTTAAAAGCATTAATAAGAATTTTGTTTTTTGGACATGATGCCAGGTCCCTTTAAGTGATAAGTCCTAGGATGGTTAAAACCTTAGCTAGATAAAAATTACTAGAGAGTTAGCGAAAGAACTTCTAATTCAATTATTGAGCCAAATTTTCACCCATGCAATACATGACCTATTAAACTTTGAAACAAATATATTACTGACCAGCAGGGGGAGTCAAATCAGTCTTTAAAAGTGGGAGTAGAAAGGAAAGGAAGACCACATGACTTCCTGTTTTGAATTAACTGTTGTAGCAGCTGTTTTCTTTGAGTTTAGTCTAACAAAAAGCAAGGAAGGAGAGAAAGCCTACCAATGTATCAAATGTGGGTGGGGTGACAATTCTAAGCAAGGAGAGACTGGCTGTCAATATATCATATGTGGATAAAGTGGTAATTTTAAATGTCAAAATTACCTGTAGAAAGCAAATTGAAAAAAAATATACTTGTGTTCAAATTAAGGACAGACCATAGAAGAATCTTTGGCATGAAAGAAAGTTCTTTTAAAACCAGATGATGAAAACTGAACAAGTAAAATACGCAAACATTAAGGTACTGATTTTCTTCCTATGGATGGTGAAATGTGAATTAGAACAAAACAAAAGCTCCTCAATCATTAAGCAAAGAAACTCAAATAGAAATTTAAAACTGGGAACGTGTCAGTATAATAATCTAAGATAGAAAAACAGAAAACAATGACAGTCATGATGAACTGCAACCCAGATGTAACGGTGAACATTCTTAGTAATTCTATATTTATTTAAAGCTGAAATTGGATTCTTGAAAGGCTTGTTTAAAAATAAAGTATGTACAAATAAATAGATTGAACTTATGTTAGAGTTATATGCACTTAATCTAAGAAACATGGGATATGTTTTGGTAGAAAAGTGTTACAGTGAAGTAAAATAATGATGTTTCACTATAAAATAGAGAATAGAATTGTTTCCACTACCCTTTATAACCATTGCAAAGAATGTAACACCTTTTTTTATGAAAAATATTTACAGGAATACAGTAGCTAACTTCACTGTTAGTTTATTTATTATCTTCTAGGAGCCTCAGAATGCCTCAGAGAATGGATTAAATGAATAGAGATGATCTCTCTATTATTATTTGAAGTTTCTAAAAAACCTGGGTGTTCGATAACATTTGTCAAAATAAAATTAAAGACCCAAGCATTTTTTAGTTAAATTAATAAACAGAATTATAGTAGCCTAGTCCTTAGTCATTACAAGGTTTATGGAAACACTGTCCAAATCAGGACAAAGGATCCAGGCAAGCTTTAGCCATATATATATATATATATATGTAGGTATGTATGTATGTATTTTTTTAACTTATGTTTATTCATTCCAAAAATCTATTTCTTGAGTACTTAATGTTTTCATAAGACATGAAGCATATCTTCATTATGAACTAGACAAAATTAAGTCTTTTTGAAAGATTTAATTTCATTGATATGTGACCAGTCATACAAATTCAATATGCAATCACTAACTCTAAGTAAATGGTACTTAGAAGCAAATCATTAAGTAGTGTACTAGAAGGTATACAGTAAACCTCTGGCAGGTCAGTTCTTTTATAATGCTATGTTATAATGTACTGATGTTATTTTACATATTGGCATCTGGTGTCAAGTCAGTTCTAATCATGGCAGTGATATCTAAAACAAATTCATCTCATATCGGTCCTAAAGTAATTTTAATGCCCAAAACGCAAATAAACAAGTATTCCTACTTCTATTTATATGTTTCCATTAAATATAAGTTGTGATGAATGCAGGCTATTAGGATTCTATGAACAGCCTGAGCTTTTAAAATTATATTTTAATTTTGTTAATGTTTTCACATGTGGAAAAAATAGTTACTAATGATCTTTTAAAAATCATCTGAATAAAGTAGCAATAGTGTTACCAAGAACCATTTCCTTTTTGATATGTGCAGGTTAATGCATATGAAAGTCCATTAAAAACTAATAATTTTGTCACTGAAGTAAAATATACATAAGCATATAGTAAATAGTTCTGTTTTATCTAGATTCTATTTAACAATCTAAGACTGACTATAACAATAAATTTACAGCCAAAGGAAAGAAAAGAGCTCAATCCTTATAGCTCATACCTCTCCAGAGAAAGGAATAGTTACATTAGGGAAAGCATCATCCAGTGAACAAAATCATGTCTGAGTAAAGAATTTCTCTACCCCTAACAAATTTAATATAAAAGTTTAGTCAGAAATTTGTACTCACACACATTACTATTTGGCTATGGCTCTTAGCACTGTTTTAAATATTGTTCTTTATATATTTCTCTTTAAAAAAAAAAAAAAAAACAGTACAAAGGGGATGGGGTATTAGCTAGCTCAATTGATAGAGTGTCTCGCATGCACAAACCCCTGTGTTCAATCTTATTACCACCAAATAATAATAATAATTTTTTTTAAAAAACAGCACGAAACCCCAAATTTCTTTAGTAGTTATCTTTCTGATTTATCAACTGTCTTACACTGTTGAATTCCATAGTTTCTAAACCACCTCTCTGGTATAACTTCGTATTGCCTTCTTTCTAATTCTAACATCAGTATTAGCCTTCTTCAATACATTCAGATAATTCCTTGAGATCACAGCTAAGCAAACAAACTTTTGCTTGACTGAAGATAAGTGGCTTTTACTATGAATTTGGAGGAGCCACAGTAGTATTTGACAATACTTTATAAATGTTTTTAATTTAAAGAACTTTCTGCACATCATACAGGCTTTCTGTAAAAAATTTTGTCTGTTTTGGCTAGTAGTTTAAACTTGATAGTTCCTTATCTGTAGTCACATTAAATCTTTTGGGTTTTAAATCTGCCTACAATATTGCTGTGAAACCTCTCTTTAAGGAATGCTTACCAGAAAACTAGTTTGAAAGCTATGTTGACCATGATATCACTATTCAATATGAAAAAATGTCTCTGAATAAATAAGTGTTTAATTTCCCTAATGAAAATTTGAATTTGTGTATCCACAGTAACTATAGATCACTCATTTATCAAGTATTGTGCCCTACACCTGTGTCCTGGAAACAGTGAATATAAAATGAATAACCTGGTCTTTTTCCTCATATAGCTCATAACCCAGAAAACTAGATCATATGAATTTAAAACAGATAAACAATATTTGTATTAAAAGTGTTGTGAAAGTACCAAAGACACATGGATGTTTTGGAAAAAGTTTCACAAGAAGGATAAAATTTGGGCTGGAGATATAGTTCATCTTGCCTTGCATACACAGCCCCTGGGTTCAATCCCCAGCACCACACACACACACACCAAAAAAAAAAAAAAAAAAAGTAAAATTTGGACATTAAAGAAAGATAAATAATTTTCTAGTTAAGGGAGGAAAGAAACCAGCCATTCGAAAGAGGGGGAGGAATATATAAAAACTTACAGTTACACTAGAAAGTTTGTTTTATTCATAATCTGAAAAATCTCGATAGAATGTAGAGGCTGATACTGGTATTCCAGTCTAAAAAGAGCTTGGATTTCACTCCACACAGGTAAATATGAAAAATTTGCATTTTAGAATACCTCTGCAAGTTAACACTAAAAAAAGGTACTATTACATTGCAATAAAGTATCTAGTGATGTATGGTGAACCTGGAAATTGTATTCAGTTCAGAAATATGTATCCACCTGTTAAAAATTTCCATACTCTTTGACATAATACTTATAACTTTTGATGTGGCTATATTGCTTTTGTAATTTCAATTAAAATCGAAAGAAACAGGCAGCTGTGTGAAGGAATGACAATGTGAAAAAGGATGGAGAAGGATGAATCAAAATAAATGTAATTGTTCAAGTCAGGTACAAAAAAATGATGAAGGAGGAATTAGAAAACTATTAAAATGAGATTTGAGGACTTGGCTATGGAAACAGGGCTGGTGAGAAGAGGGTGAATTTGAAAGATAAAGTATAAAATACTTGAAGCAATGAATACATAAGGTCAGAGAAAGGATGGGAGTCAAGTACTACTGACAAATCGGGCTTAGTTCTCTAGATGGACACTGGTGCCATTAAAGTGAAATAAAGAGATTTTAAAAGCATAGGCTGAAAGCAGAGAGGGTTAAGAATAATTTGGATTTGGGGTAAGTTAAATTTGAGATGCCTGTTGACTCCCAGTTAGAAATGTGTGGTCAAGTAGAAATATGTGTGGATATTAAGGAAATGTAGCTAGGGGAGTCATCTTCATATAGGTAATAATTGAAGTCAGAGTTGAATCCAGGGGACGTTTATGAAATGAGAAAGAGTCAAAGAATTCTAAGGAGCATTAAGGAAAACGCAAGCTACCAAAGTTTTTTCTGTTAATAGTCTACTACTGTCTCTCTAAAACATTCAAGAAAACCTTTTTTATTTACAAGATGTATTTAGTCAAAACAGAACTCGGCTCTAGAATCAACCTATAAAAATATTATCTAATTCTGGGAGTTATTATTACCCATCTTAATTTACTATGTCTTTTGTATTTTACTTGAAAGTGGGAGAATAGGAAAACAATTTGTTTTCCTAAAAGAATAAGAGAAAAGGTAATGACATTTTATTTTTAAGAAGCAAATTCTCATTAAACAATACTTCTAACATTGAGTTACAGCTTCTAAGCTTTCCAAGTTGTTGTTTATTGTAGCCCCAGGGGCCAACTCCAATCCAATCCAGGCATCTACATGACTATTCCTGTAGCTTCACTTTTATCATTACTCCTTAACCCTTTCTCTCTCTTACTACCAAGCCCTCTTATAATATCTAGCCAGTCACCATTGGTTTCCACTGTTCCCACACATTTTGATTCCTCTAAATCAAGGGTAATCTCATGATCTTGATTGTTCCTGTCACTTAATGGTAAGATAGAAACTACCGTGAAAGAGTGGACGTGAAGATTATGCCATACTTCTGAGGTTTTCATGTTTTTCAGTAGGGAATCACAACAGTCAAAAAGGCTATGTATATTTTAAATCAACAATAATGGCATTGTAGTCTGTTAGCTATTCAAAAGTGTTTAGTTCTATAGACTTACAAAGCAGTGTCCAAATAATCAGCTTTGTTAATATAAAGGTGCAAAATTATGGGACAAGTACTCTCCAATTAATTTCAAAGTTAGAATACTTTTATATATAACTGCTCAAGAACCAAGAGCTGTTGTTTAATACGTGGTACTAGGACAACTAGATAGCCACATGCAAAAGACTAGGACCCTACTTCATACCATTTGCAAAAATAAAGATGGATCAATGGCCTATGTATAAAAGCAAACCCTATAAATATATCCATAAGAAGATATGGAGGGGTTGTAACTCAGCGGTAGAGTGCTTGCCTCACATGTGTGAGGTGCTGGATTCAATTCTCAGCCCCACATAAAAATAAATAAAAGTAAAGGTATTGTGTTCATCTACAACTAAAAAAAAAAAAAAAAAGGAGGAAGAAAACATGGAGGTAGGCTAGGCACAGTGACTCAGGCCTGTAATTCCAGTCACTTAGAAAGCTGAAGCAGGAAAATTAAAAGTTCGAGGCTAGCCTCATCAATTTAGCGAGACCCTACCTCAAAAAAAAAAAAAAAAAAAAAAAAGGACTGGGGATGCAGCTCATGGTAAAGCACCCCTGGGTTCAATTCCCCCCAGTACTAAACTACTCTGCCACCCATCCCCAACCCACCCCTGGGGGGTGGCGGGGGGAAATCATCATGGAGTTAAGTCCTTGAATTTAGTAAAGGATTCTTTCTTTTCCTTTTTCCTCCCCCTCCCCCCCACCGTGCTGGGGATTGAATCCAATAGTATTCTACTACTAAGTTACACCCCCAGCCTTTTAATTGTTTTTACTTTATTTTGAGACAGGGTCTTGTTGAGTTGCCCAGGCTAGCCTTGAACTTGCAATCCCCCTGAGTAGCTAGTGAAAGATTCTTAGATGTGAAAACAAAAGCACCAGCTTCTAAAAGAAAATCAACCTACAAACTGGACTTCATCAAAAGTTAAAACATTTGTGTTTCAAGAGATACCATGAAGAGAAAAGTGAAAGTGAAAAAAAACCTAAGGAATAAGAAAAATACCTGCAAATCACATAACTGATATGAGATCTGCATCTACTGTAATGAATTTTTAAACTCAATAACTAACAAATGGCCCAACTTTTAAAAAATGGACTAAGAATAATGAGTAGACATTTTCCAAAGAAGAAACACAAATGGCCAAAAAACACATGAAAAGATGTTTAACATCATTGTCACAAGGGAAATGGAAATCAAAACCACAAGGGACTACCACTTCATACCCACTACAATAGCCAAAATTAAAAGTCAGATAACACATATTGGCAAAGAAGAAGAGAAATTGGAGCTCTCATATACTGTTGATAGGAATGGAAAATTGTATTGCTACTTTGGAAAACAGCCTGGCAGTTCCTCAAATCATTAAACATCTAGTTCCCACGTGACCCAGAAGTTCTAGGTATACATTCAAGAGAAATAAAAATATGTTCACACAGAAATTTGTGCACAAATGATTATTGCAATATTCAGAATCACCAGAAGATGAAAACAACCCAAATGTTTTGTTTTTTTTTTTAAGAGAGAGTGAGAGAGGAGAGAGAGAATTTTTTTTTTAATATTTTTTTTTTAGTTTTCGGTAGACACAACATCTTTGTTTGTATGTGGTGCTGAGGATCAAACCCGGGCCACACGCATGCCAGGCCAGCGCGCTACCGCTTGAGCCACATCCCCA